TGACATGCTATGTATTACATTGTTAGACATTGTTGTCAGGATACTGACCTGGTGCCTAGAATTAATGGACTAGATGAGGACCAATAAACTTAATCCACAGAAGATGACCCATAGCTGTACCTCACCTATCTATGGATGTGATGCTCGGTCTGTTCTTCATGGGGCTGTATTTCTTATAAAAGGTCATTTGAACAGTCTTTGGTGCGAGATCTAGATTCATTTGTCTAACTCCAAGTAGCATCAACTGCATATTCTTCTGGATAAAAATCACCTGGTAAATTATACATGCTCAAGTAACCTCTGAACTACTGCAGTGTATTTGGAAAGGGCTAATGTTGAGGACATTGGAAACCTAAGCAAATATGGGTCCAATACTCTACTGAGAGGGACGTGGTGGCGCTGCGGCCTAAACTGCAGAAGCCTGTGCTGCAGGGTCAGAAGACCAAGCAGTCGCAAGATCGAATCCACGCGACGGAGGGAGCTCCCGTCGCTTTGTCCCAGCTCCCGCCAACCTAGCGGTTCGAAAGCATGTAAATGCGAGTAGATAAATAGGGACCACTTCGGTGGGAAGGTAACAGCGTTCCATGTCTAAATCGCACTGGCCATGTGACCACGGAAGATTGTCTTCGGACAAAATGCTGGCTCTATGGCTTGGAAATGGGGATGAGCACCGCCCCCTAGAGTCGAACACGACTGGACAGAAATTGTCAAGGGGAACCTTTACCTTACTCTACTGAGACAGGCTGAATCCTTTGGCTGAAATTGTTACTGTCCTTATTGAGCATAGTAAGTGATTACTAGAGGAGGCCCACTGAATCAATGAAACTTACAGAGGAGATCTATTGTTTCAGTGGGCCTTCTTGAGTTATGATTCAGTAATGTAATGGGGTTTCTCTAGTTGCAATTTACTACATTTAGCAACAGGATTTCAGTGTTTCAATTCCAAAGCTTATTCCGAAGGTTTTAATCTACCTCTAAGATCATTTGAAAGTGCCATTTTTTTCTGGGGGCTATGTCATCTTTCCACATTACTCTGTCCATGCACAGAGATTGTAATTGGAGGCTTTTCTCTGTGTGCCTGGTTATCATAGGCAAGAAAGTTAACATATCAGCAAAGAATTTTTTCACCTGCAAGTATTCAAATGCAGAGTTTTCTCATAGTAACCCTACATAGCAGAAAGCCAAGTTCTTTTCCTATGCATTTTTTTCAGATTAATTACAAATAAATTAGAAATTGGGAACTCAGAAGTGGGGCAGCATAGGGGTTGTAAGCGGGAAATCTGATTAATGGAAAGCAGCAGAAGTACTGATTTGGCAGTATTTTCATTTTTTTTAAAAAACTGAATCCATTTTCTTTTCATGTTGTAAATTAAATTATCAGTATGGGGAAAGATTCATTTATAGCATCTGTAATAAGTAATCAACTTATGCTAAAACTATTTTCACATCATTAACACTTCCCCAAAGATTATGATTTAATGAGGCTATCTATTAAACTGTTCAGTATTATTTAGTATAACAGGTCCCCTGTTACATCTTCTCACACTGCATAGTTCTTGATTTTCAATGAATACATCTTTTTGAATTAACTAAAACATCAAACTAAAACATCAATCAAGGGACGTGGTGGCGCTGCGGGTTAAACCGCAGAAGCCTCTGTGCTGCAGGTCAGAGGACCAGCAGTTGTAAGATCGAATCCACATGATGGAGTGAGCTCCTGGTGCTTGTCCCAGCTCCTGCCAACCTAGCAGTTTGAAAGTATGTAAATGCGAGTAGATAAATAGGTACCACCCCGGTGGGAAAGTAACAGCATTCTGTGTTCTGTGTCTAGTTGCACTGGCCATGTGACCACGGAAACTGTCTATGGACAAATGCTGGCTCTACGGCTTGGAAATGGGGATGAGCACTGTCCCCTAGAGTCAGACACAACTGGACTAAATGTCAAGGGGAACCTTTACCTTTACCTCAAAACATCAATGGACAGGCTTCAGGGTTGCTGGACCTACTTGGTACATTTACCAAAATCTTATGAACCAATTGGATCCTAATCCAGCAAATGATATTAACTAAAATTCCTACACTATTCTGATAACATATTGTGTCTAAATGTATGTAGGATGAGGGTTAAAAAATCACTGTATGTAAATTTACTTTATGTGTGGCTAGGAGTTTGTTTTTACTAAAACTGCATGATTATCAAGAGTTCGTAGCTGATACAAAAGATGTATATTTACAACTGAACAACTGTGGAGCCCAGAATTTGTTCCGAGAAAAAGGACTAAACAGACAATTGCATATAGCTGAATATATTAAGAATTCACCCTATCTGTTGGATTAAATTTGTATATAATAAATATTAAGACACACCTGTACAATTCACAATTATTCTTTGCATCTCCAGGCTGGACTTTCTTTTAGACCACAGCCTCAGTTTGCACATAATGACAAGCCAGTGTTGTAAATAAAGAATTCTCCTTTATTTTGTCTACTAGTAGTATGGGAGGAAGAGAGGACCAGCAGGAACACTTGAACATGCTGCTTTATGTGAACATACTCCTGCTTTTGTACCCAAAAATAAAGATAGAGACAACTGGAGTGGGAGAGAAAGAGATAGGTAATAAACAGCACTCTGAATCGAGCCTGCAAACAAACTGGAAGTCAGTGAAGCTGTCGCAATATGGGAGTTATATGCTCCCAGTAACCAGTGCTAGTCAGCAGTCTGGTTGAAGCATTTGAGCCAGCTGTAGTTTCGGAACTCTCTTCAAAGGCAGCCCCAAAAGGAGGACCTTGTAGCAATCTAAAGAAGATGTAACTAAGAGACCCTCTTGAGCTTCTGCAAGTGAAATAAGACCTAGCTTTTTACCCAGGCTTTCCCAAGTACCACTGTAGCGTTCACCTTTATAATGCTAAATAAGTAAATGTATTATTCGTATCTATGCAAATATGGTGGAGAGGTGGAGCTGAGAGAGAGGTTAAAAGGCAGAGCCTGAGAGACATATAAAACATATTAAAAGAAAACAAACAAAACCCAACCCCCTGATAAAATCACCCATCTGGGACATAGGATGGCAGACAATGGGCCAGCATAATTTTATGAAAGGGTGGTTGTGGAGTTCACCTCTATGAAGCACCTACTTTTTGTGCCTTCACAAAGGTTCCAGTCTTTGTTTTCCTCACTGCCACCAGTGGATTACCTCTATCCACAATATAAAAGACGTTTGTCCAAACACTTGTCTGGTAAATGCAAACAGAACTTATTTATTGTAGTGTACTAAAGTTAATAAAAATCACAGATGTTCTTCAGATGTTCATTGTACGCAAGCAAATCATTCACAGGTCTCTCTATACAATATATACTTTCTTCTTGCCATATATAAGATTATCACCTTCTCTATTTATCTTAACCAGCTTAGCTCAGTCTCTATCTCTTCTGCCTCTGCCCCTGACTAACTCAATCTCTCTCTACTGACTGACTGACTGTTCACTGACTCTTGACTGACTCCCATAATAGAGCAGCAGGGCAAAGGCAGATTCTATAAAAATCAGAGTCTTCAGCAGTCTTCTGAATGTGTGCAGGGAGTAGACCAGATACAGCTTCACTAAGAGCCAGTTCCAAAGTCCTGGTGCCACAACCGAGATGGCCTGGCTTCTGAAAGAAGTCTTCCTGGCCTCTCGTGTCTCTGCAGACTACAGTGATTCACAGTTGAAAGCTAGGAAGTCATTATTCTAGTCTTTGTAAATATGTATTTCTGATATAACCCTGTATATCCCCTACATCTTATATAGCTAATGACCATCTCACATTCCTTCACTATAGCTGGTTTACAAGCCTATCTGTGATATACTAAGGATTATACGTAGTGTGTTTCTTCAGTTCTTTTTACAATACTGTCTTGCACGAGTATACTCTGAAGTAAGGCCTTATGAGCTGAACGGGGCTAACTTCCAGATAAATTTAGGGTCAGTACCTTTAATACCCTGTGCCTTGCAAAGCTTCTGCCAACAGGGGAAAAGAGAAGAGGAGTTAGCAGCTCTCTCTTTAAAATCAAATTAATTTCCATCCTACTGCAAACATTGAGAAACAATGAATTAGGGCTGACAGCACTGTTGATCTAAATTTTCAACCTGGTAGGAGTGGGTAGAGGCTTGAAGGCTAGGGTACCTCTCACTTTGATGCCAACAGAGCAGTAGTGTCAGAGAGATGAGGATACAGATCTTTTCCCACAAGATAGTGACACTTGAGACAAGATCACTTTCCCTGAGACTGAACCTCTCACTCCAACCTCAGAAGGCAGCTTCTGATTTATCCTTGAAATTTGGTTCCAGGACTGTGAAAACCTGTTTTTTATTTTTAAAAGTTTAAATACTTTTTCATGCCTTTCATTGAAAGTTACAAGGCCTTCTGCTTTTACAATTTTATTTTTAAGAATTTCAAAATGTTTTAGAGATGCCTTCTCTGCCTTATTAGGATATAAACTCTTGTTCATTTTTTACTCTTGAAAGAGTCTGTACTCTTGGCCTTTTGTATTTCAAAATGTTACTTAGAGCATTTTTAATACTTTATTGTACTTACGCTCTTATAAATTTGACTGTATTAGCTCTTGTATTTCAATAGTCCTATATTTTATATTCAAGTACAATTTAAGTTCACTTTTCATATTTTTTAAGTATTTGTACATACAGCCTTGTTCACAGCTGTAAAGATTATTTTTGCAAGATGAAACAACAAGATTGTGCCCAATTATTATGTATTGCTGCATGTATTCTATGTGTGGGTGTGGTCAAACAAACAAACAAATAAACAAACAAATAAATACATTAAAAATTATATCAAATAATTGAAAAATCCATGGAGTACACATTTTCCCCAAACCAAACTAAAACATAACTTAACAAATTATGAAATATATGTGTTTTTTAAAAAAGGAAAGATACTATAATAAAAAAACAACAACATTGCTCCCCATAGGTGATGTGAATCAGAACTAAATAACACTTACCTGTGGAGGAAGAAGTGGCAATCGGATGTAGGCAAGTAACATACTCAAGTCATTGCATCTCCTTTGCATGTCATACTTGACCCATTTCATTAAGGCATGGAAAATAGTTTCTTCATCTGGAACATTCACATCATCACTGGCAAGAAGCTTATGGAGTTCCTCTGCTGGCAACAATAAAAATTCTTGATTTTGAATAACCTCCATTATATTCTCCTACAAAGAGAAATGAGTATTTTAGACTTTGTTTTTCAGAGTTCAAAATGAAAACAAAGGACCATTAAAATAATCAAACTGTAGCAAGAATGTGATTATTGGAAGCAATCAATCCATTCTGAATAGATGATTTCTGAGGTTACACAGCATAGGCTGTAAGGTTATGAAATTTTACTTCAACAAGTTGCTTTCTTTGACTGCAGCTCCAACAATTCTCCTAACCTGCCTAGCCATGGTCAGAATTCTCTGATGTCAGAATGAGGTCACAACCTGGAGAGGTTCTGTTTCTCTGCAAACTGAGATGCACTTGACAGTCAGGCTGAGCCTTCAACTGGTCAGGATGGATCTTCCTGTTAGGTCAAGATGAGGGTTGAAGGTGGGCTTTATGACCTGTTTACAGCTATGGTGTCATAGAGGATAGTGTGTCAGGCAGGAATTCAGGAGGCTTTGAGTGAGGAACCTAGAGGAGTGGATAGGAGCTTAAAATATAACTTTATACTGAAAAGATTCAAGGCCCCCTTGTACTAATAGTCAGCTACCCATTTTCTTTAAAGATGCTCCTGAAATTATTAATACCTGAGTGTCAATTAAGCTATTGATAGGGAAACTATATCCTGTGACTGAGGATGTCACACTCCCTCTGCAACTATGTTCTCCTCAAGTAGCCAATCTTGCAATTTACCCAATAAATGCCTTTCATATAGTTTACTGATAGTATTTAATAGGCTTATTGGTCAATAGTGGGCAGGATCCCCTCTACTTCCTCTTTTATAAATTGGGACTACAATGGCTTCAGGTAACGAATGATCCCCAGGGTTTGGGATCTGTGTCTTTGCTTTTTCTACTGGAAGCAGGCTTTCGGGTCACATTAAAGGTTTCTTTGGGTATTGTTGTGAAGGCTGGTTGTGGAGCCAGAGATTGGGAGTTGGATTTCCCACTGTGCCTTCAGGGAGGAAGAGCTGGCCTTTGTCACCTTGGGCAAGCTCATCAGAGGCCAAGCATGATAAAGGTGCTTTGACTACAGCTCCCACAATTCTCCTAACCAGCCTAGCCATTGGTCAGAATCCTCTGATGTCAGAATGAGGTCACAATCTGGTCTGTATCTCTGCAAACTGAGATGCAGTTAACAATCAGGCTGAGCCTTCATCTTGTCGGGATGGATCTTCCTGTTAGGTCAAGTTCGGGTTGAAGGAGGGTTATATGGCCTGTTTACAGTGATAGAGGGTCAGGCAGGAACTCAGGAGGCCTTCAACGAGGATCCTAGAGGAATGGGCAGGAGCTTAAAAATAACTTTATTCTAAAAAGCTTCAGGGCCCCCTTGTACTAATGGTCAACTACCCATTTTCTTTAAAGATCCTCCTGAAATTATTCACTCCTGAGGATCAATTCAGCTATTGATAGGGAGTGAGGTAGGTGGGACTCATCAGCCTGGGAAGGCAGCCCATCTAGGTGAAGGAAAACTCTGATCCCAACCCCCCATGCCATGAGGAGAAGAGGCGCCGCCATCACCCATGCGGCGAAGGAGCAGGCTGGGTAGGTGGGAGTCGTCAGCCTGGGAAGGCAGTCCATCTAGGAGAAGGAAAACTCCAATTCCAAACCTCCACTGCCTTGTAGCTATATCCACTGATGGAAAAGGCTTCAGGCAAAATCCAGAGCAGGAGTCCCAGAGACAGTTTGTGTCATTTTGGCAACTCCTGCGACATCGCTGGAACCAGTTCTATTGGCTCTTGCCTTTCCATTGGACTATTTCAGTGATGTGGAGAGGGGGGATTTGCTGCTTGGGTAACAGCCTATCCTCCATATTATTTTACCCAGGCTTCATGCTCTGGAGAAGACACTCCAGCTTTGCATACAGCATTGAAGTCCTCCATACAGAGCACATCACCATAGTCACTCGAGACTGAAGGATGCCTATGAATGAATGAGCTAAATAACATGAATATCAATACCAAATAGCTGACAGGCCTAAAAATCCAGGCTCTGAGGCCTGAATAATTAGAATTCTACATTTTGTTTGAACTTCTTTATCTACTTCAGTAAACAGAAAATGTATATTTATCTCTTTACTATTTCCTTAAAATTTCAAGGTTAAACTTCTATTTCCCTACTTTTTCAAAGACAAAATGAGCAGACTTGTAGCTTATTATATATATAAAAAAAGAACAGTGTAATTGTGGCAATCTCCTCTGAAGCCCCTATCCCCTCAGGTTTTCATGAGGTTCTCGCCCTTCTTCCTTCATCGCTGCCACCAGGTATTATTGCTCTAATACCATTTAATCATGGAGACATGTGAGCTTTTAAAACCTAAGTCATTTATTAGATCAGGGAAGTTACTATAGGATTAATATTCAATAGGTAAATCACAGGTTGGTAATCACTTGTATTTGAATCAATTCTACTTTAACTTTGAAACGCTTTTAATTCTCTATTCCAGTCATCGTTCTTACAGATCTCTAACTCACTCTTAGTTCACTTTTAAGTTTCACACTGTCTCTCAATGTCAGAATCTGTCTTCATATTCCATACACCAGCCTTTATATTCAGCACCCTCCCCCCTTGGCTCTGCCTTCTGTCCTCTCATTGGCTCCTTCTCCACTGTTCTGTTGTGATGGACAGGTGAGGGCAGGGCTGTTCGCTACACACCTCCCCCCTTAAAAAGTTGTTTCATGGGGTAAAAGCTATAGTGCTTTACCCTCATGAACGAGGAGCTTTACAGTAGTAAACATCCAATACACAACATTGCAATCAAAACTTACCACCTTTTAATGTAAGTAATAACTAAACAACTTATATGCATGCTATTCATTACCTTTGTAATTCCGTTACTAGTTCAATTACATTCCTCACCACTTCAATCATCTACCCAGGTGCTTGCCCAAAAAGTCACCTAATATTTTTACTAAATTCATACATTTTTTTTCTGAACACACATTATATAACATTTAACAAGGTGCAATTACACAGTCTATTGCTTTTTCCAAAGTCCATTTCCTTCTTGGAAGGAAATGGGCTGCCACAACATTATGAGTCTCTTTTGTCCACATTTTAATTTTTTTCAGTCTAAGTTTTATGACACAAGAGATCTCTCTCAACACCACGCTTTTGCGTTCTTTGAAAGTCCAAAACTGTAGTCATGGTGGAGTGGTAGTGCTCATAAAGGAAATGTCTTATCCCCCTTCGTAGCTGGAGTCATGGTGAAGACCACCTCCCTCTGCACCTTCACGACACTCACGACTTTCTGACAGCAGGGGTCCCTCGCCAACCTGCAGCTTCCCTCCCAGGAACGACCTCAGATGAAGGTTCTTGCAGTCATTCGCCTGGCTCGGTGTGGCTCCTGTCTCGGATATGGACCCCTCTCTGGCATTTGAGCCCTCTCTGGACACGGTCTGCCACTGGCGCAGTCTTCCATCTCTCTTTATGTCATGTTACTTTAGCTGCTCTACAGTTTCACCTCTCCCTCTGGAGCTCCTATTGTGATGCTCTTGGCTAAACTCTTTAAGTAGGGCCTAGCAAGATCGAGCCTAACTCACAATCCTTTTATATTCCGCACCACTGAAAGGGTTAGGCTACATCTCAACCTATTAAGCTTTCGATAGGTCACCCCTCTGCCTTCCCACTATGGCCATGCATGTTTTCTCAGGATCTTTTTCCTTCTCTTATCTTGAACAACCTTTGCTTTCTGGTCCCAAAATTTAACTAGATAGGTTCGTCCTCTATAAGGAGTAATTACCTGTAGGGGTGCATCTCTGGTATCAACCTTGCACACCACCCCTTTGGCTACCAGTGGATGGCTATAGAAAACCTGCTTGTACTTCCTAAGCATAGCCCTAGCTTCTCTTTGTTGTTCTGGGGAAACTGAGGGACTGATTTGGCCCTCTTCTGAGGTGTATTTGATTTTGCCCCTCCTTTCCCCATAAAGTAACTTCAGTCTTTCCCTGTCTGCTCCTTTCAATGCTAGCAAGATAATATCCTATAGAAGGGCTTGATTATTGAAGCAAACTGTTATACTCAAGCCACTGACATGCTGCCCTTTTCGCCTTCACTGAACGGATCCTCAGGGTTCAGGGAGAAAAAGGAGCAGCTGACTTCCCGCAGTGCATTTGCTTAAGTCTCTCTATGACAGCCCTGTGGATTTTGCCTTCAGCGCTCTCAGTTCAATTTGAGACCTTTCTTCTCCCAGAGGATTTACACACAGAGGTGCATCACACCCGTGTACCTGGAAGACAGGGGAAGATCTCAATTTTGATGTCCCTCAAAGCCATTTAAAGTTGGCCAGGTGAACTTTCTTTCCCCCTGACAGCCACAACAGGACAAGAAAAGCCGGAAAAGCTGCCGAATTCCCATCCACCCAGGATGACCAGAGCCAGCCCTGTCCCTAGAAATCCTGCCACGCCAGCCCAAACCGCCCTGTTTCTCTCCGTGCTTCCTTTGCAACGGGCAGGAAGGTGAGCGGGAAGGCAGGATGGACAAACGGGGCTTGTCTCTCCCTCCCCACCTGGGTGTGAGGCAGTGCTTCACCAGGCAAGGATGGGGACCTGAGAGACCCTCTCCTTCCACCCGATCCACACTTGGTGCTCCCCTAAGGGAGAAAGGCAAGCTGTGGCAGGCAGAAAGAGCTTGATTGTCTGGCGGCAGCGGCGGCACCGGATCCACTCCCAGAACCGTGGCTGCAGCTGCCTTCACAAGTTTGGCTCACTCCAGCGCCCCCTACTGCCCCCTTCTGTCCCTTCGCCCCCACACCGCCCCTTTTCATTCTACCGCTCCCCTGAAAAATGAAATCACCCCCTGGGGGGCATTATCACCCACGTTAAGAACCACTGCTTTACACCATTAAAAGACAATATTCAAAGATAAGAACAATCAGTATAAAGAGGCAGTATGCATTTTTCACAACAATATTAAAGCTAACACAAGTATACAAATATTTAAAAGGAACAAACATACCACTCTGAGGGATGGTAAACACAAGTAGTGTGTAATGCACAACAATCCATCAAAAA